TCGGCAGCCCCGGGGGGGGGGCCCGGCAGCCCGGGTCTGGGCTCCCCAGCTCAGGGGGAACAAGGAATTGCGGGAGAGCCCAAGGACTGGAGCACCTGCCTGTGAGGAAAGGCTGGGAGAGCTGGGGCTGTTCAGCTGGAGAGGAGGAGACTGAGGGGGGATCTCATCAACCCTCCTCAATATCTCCAGAGGTGTCAGCAGGATGGGGCCAGACTCTTCCCAGCAGTGCCCAGTGACAGGACAAGGGGCACTGGGCACAAACTGGAGCACAGGAGGTTCCAGCTGAACATGAGGAAAAATCTCTTTGTTGTGAGGGTGACAGAGCCCTGGGACAGGGAGGTGCTGGAGTCTCCTTCTCTGGAAACATTCCAAACCCATGTGTGTTCCTGTGGGATCTGCTGTAGGTGACCCTGCTCCACAGAGGGGTTGGAGTGGATGATCTCCAGAGGTCCCTTCCAGCTCCCCAGCCCTGCCCTGCGGAGGGGAGGGCAGTGCTGGCTGACCCTGACGTGTGGAGGATCCAGCTGGATCCCGGGTTGTTGCACAGCTGGTGGTGAAGCAGTTGGCAGTAAAAGTCTCTGCTTTTTGGCCAGTTGAGCCCATCAAGTTCAGTCACTTCCAGGGCATAGGAGTCTTGGAGACACAAATTCTGTGACAGCAGAGGAAGCAGAGCCTGGCTGATGGGACAAACGGAAATTACCTCCCTGTGAAGCTGCTGCTTGTATTTTGCATGCACAGAGCACGTCTGAGGCTCTGTGCTGTGCTCTTTTCCTGCTCTTTTCTGAAGCTGGAGCGACTTAGGGCCCAGAGAATCACAGGGTTACTGTGCTTGGAAATGGAACAAGGTCCTGAGAAAGCGATCCAAGCTGGGTCTCCTCTGAGCAGGATTAGAGACCACCAAGTTGTCTCTCCCAACTGCAATTATTTTTCAATTCTGTGATGTCTTCTTGTCTAACTGCAAACCCCACTTTTACAAAAAGAGTAAAGGTGCCCAGGAGCCCTGTCCCTGCTCATGCAGGGTCCTGAGAGCCAGTCAACTCATGCTGCCCCAACAGCAGCAGGGAGCAGGGACAGGCTGATTTCATTTATTCCCCTCTAGAACTTTGGAGCCTCCCAAGGGGTCACTGCTCTTGCCTCCCGTGTCCAGCCAAGGGGAACACAGCTCCTGCAGCTCCTGCACACATGTTGCCTGTTGCAGGAGGCAGGAAGGGCCCTGGAGCCCCTGGTCTGGTTGTAGCATGACATTGGGCTCCACTTGATGGTCTTACGAGTGTGCTAATTTAGGTGGGAACAGTCAGTAAAGCATGAGATGCTGGTCGGACCAGGGAGAAGAAAGAAACCCTCTGCTTGGCCCAAGTGAAGTCCCTGCAGGTTGCAAGTCAAAAGCTAACAGTGTGGTGCCAACACCCACCTTGGTGCCACCTGCTAGTCAAATTACTGAGAGATGAAGCTTTCCTGGCAAGATCCACCACACACAAAAGCCCCGGAGTGTCACAACACTACCTGCCACCTCCCAGCCCATGGTCCATGGCTGCTGCCAGGCAAGGCTGTGCTGAGCGGAGCTGGTGGGCAGGGCTGGTTGCTTGGTGTGGTGGGGTCTCTGGCACAGTCCCCTGGAACTTCTCAAGAAATGAATAAATAAATAAATACCAATACGATCTTTGGCCAATTCTAAACCTTCTTGGGGGAGAGCTGTCTGGTGTTTAAAATTCATGTTGAATTCTGAATTTTAACATTTCCTCCTAGATTATTTGTGAAACAGAAGGTCTTACTGGTCTGTGAGAATCAATACCAGCTTCTTTCCAAGCAGAACATTTTGACATTTGACATTTATCTTCAACAGCAGCCCATAAGTTTTCTCACCTCCTGCTAAGCACAGATGTAGACCATTATGCAGGTTTACTTTGTTCATTATTTAGCTGGTAATGCCAATTCCTCTTCAAACCCATCAGTACATCTTGTCCCACAAAGGCTGTGCTGGTGAATGGGTCATGTCCTGCAGTTCCCATGGTGGTGCTCCAGTTTGCTGAGCTTCAGCAGAATCACGCTCTGGACATGTTTCTTCCAGCACTAGTCACTTCTGGAGCTGAATTCCCCCCTGGGACCTTTGCATGGGAGCTGGACTGGTGAGGAAAGGGAGAGGAGCTGCTGACAACTCCAGGCTTGGTAGCTACCAAGGAACCCCCCCTTCCATGTGCCCGTGTCCCTGCAGGTGTCAGAGGTGCCTGGGGCAAGAGAAATAAGAAATCAGCGAGTTTTTCCTCATGAACACTACACTGTCCCAAACTGGGGCTTTTTACCTTTTGGTTCCTCACATAGTTCTCACTGGATAAAGGGTGGAGAAGAAACTGGAGAAGTTCATCCTGAGGGAGATGTGTCAGGAGGAGCTGAGATCTGGAATAACCGGTGAGGTGTTTCCTCAGGGACTGGGGAGACCCTCAGTCATTGAAGGCTATGGGGGCAGGACATGCTGCTTGCCTTGAAATGAAAGAACTCTGGAGAGGTATGTGGTAGGTACACCACTGACAGACCAATAATACTGGGCTCTGTTCACCCTGGTGGACAAACGAGCTGTAACTGCAGGTTTTGTTACAGAATCACAGAATCATCACGGTTGGCAAAGACCTCTAAGATCATCGAATCCAACTATCAACCCAGAAAAAAACCCCAAAACCAGCACAGCCACAAAGGCATGCCTTGAAATGTCATATCTACGTCTTTCTTGAACACCTCCAGGGATTGTGACTCCACCACCTCCCTGGGCAGCCTGTTCACTGTCCCAACCACTCTTTTGGTAAAGAAATTCTTCCCAATACCCAGTCTAACCCTTCCCTGGTGCAGCTTCAGGCCATTTCCTCTGGTCCTGTCATTATTCACTTGGGAGAAGAGCCCAACTCCCACCTCCCTACAACCTCCTTTCAGGGAGCTGTAGAGAGCAATGAGGTCTCCCCTCAGCCTCTTCTTCTCCAACCCCAGTTCCCTCAGCCTCTCCTTATAGGACTTGTTCTCCAGACCCTTCCCCAGCTCCATTGCCCTTCTCCGGACACACTCCAGCCTCTCAACGTCCTTCTTGTGGTGAGGGGCCCAGAACTGGCCATTCTCTTCTCAAGCAGGAGACCTGGCAACACCTTCACCCCCAGTTAGCAAGACCTCCAGGCCTGATACATTTTCCTGCCTGGATCTCTGCAGATGGAGCAGCTGTTTCCACCACCATACTGAAGCTGTGGGGCAGAGGCACAGCCAAAAGTGGCTGCCTGTTCTAACACCATGTTTTTACATACCCTCCACACAGCAGTGAGACAAATGTCTTGAGGGTAGAGAACAGAAGGTAAATCCCTGCTGGCTCAGGAAATCTTTTATTCTTTATATTTTCATTAAAAAATAAACATAGGAAACAAAACCACAGAACACTTGTGTGATAGGAACAAACGCAGAAGGTCAGAGCATTGGCTGAAAGTGCATAATGGAGTCATGCTACCACGTCCCTGATCCCACCCTGTCCCCAAGCAAGGAGTCAGCAGGAAGCTCAACGAGCAGCAGAACACAGAGCCCAGGCACTGGGGGGCCAAGCTGAGGAGAGCCCCTGCTCCCAGGAAGGCAGCAAGGCAGGGGACATGCTGAGGAGACAGTGGCAGAGGAAGCTCTCACCTGGGGCTTGTGACGCAGGTGATGGAGAGCTAGTGAAAGAGGAAGTGGAGTTAGGCCAGGGAAGAAACAGAGGGTAACATGGATCCCAAACGTCCCTGGAAGCAGAAAAAATCTTAGATAAAAGGAGTATCACCACAATGAACTTCTCTGAAAGACTCAGGTGGGTGTGCTGGACAGAGAGGGCTGTCCAGCCATGAACCCGTTGCTCAGCAGCAAGATCATGTGGATGGCAGCAATTGTGTCTCTGCTGCCAGGGCCCCACCTCTGCAAGGTGACCTCTCCAGGGGATGGGAGCGAGGGCAGCACCCAGCACAGCCAGGCTCCTGCTCAAGAAAACACAGCACTTTGCAGCTGGGTCTGTTGAGCTCTTTGAGGGAACCCTGATGTGACTCTTGCTGAGCCCCCTGACCGGAGCACAGTGCTGCAGACCTGCTCCTACACCAGGCAATGAGCTTTCCCCCCACCCTCTGCCCCTGCAGCCTCGGGCTTTTGGGTCTCAGTAGTTGACAGCTTTGATCTGCGACTCCTTCTGTGTGCAGAGCTCTGAGAAGTGCAGGACCCCTTGGACACACTCACTCTGTTTGGCTCTGCTCTCCTGTGCACCTGAAGAGCACGTTCACACATTCAGTATGTACAAGATGATTGGAAACTGGAACATCAGAGCAGCTGGATTTACCCCCACACATCCACCTGGCTGAGAGCAACCAGAGGACCTGTGTAGTCCTGCAGTAGCTGAAGAGACTCCCCAGTTGTATGTACAGGTCCTTGGAAGGGTTCTCCAGGCTGGCTGATGCCAAGGCTGAGAGCACCTCTGCTCTGCCGATAGACTGAGCCACAGGAACAGCAAAGGACACAACTTCTGACCCACCTCACCACCCTTCTCCAGCTCCACACAGAGCCCCCAATTTCAAATGACTGCTGAGATAACACGGTTATGCACATGCTCTAGTCAGAAGCAGCACAGAAAGCTGCTGGTCTGGTGACTATTTCCACAGCATCCACAACTCTCAAGAACAGTCACTGCAAATCACTTGGGACTCTTCCTCCAGCTGAGACTCTTTAGGATGTTCTTCAGAAGCTCCTTCTGGATCACTTCTCCCGAAGGACACAGACTCCAGCGTCGCAGCGCTGCATCCCCAGGGAGGTCACCACTTCCCAGCTGTCAATGACGGGATCATAGCACTCAATGCTGCTCAGCAGTGAGTTGCCATCGTACCTGCAAGGACAGAAAGCTGCAGGTGAGAGATGCTGCTGAAGGGAGAGGCTGAAGTGCTCAGAGCCCTGGCCTGGACTGAAACCCCTGCATTCAGATCCTTCTGCTGTCTGCTGCTGCTCTCCTGCCTGTCTTCATGGACTAATCATGGACTGGTTTGGGTTGGAAGGGATCTTAAACATCACATAGTTCCAACCCTCCTGCCATGGGCAGGGACACCTCCCACCAGCCCAGGTTGCTCCAAGCCCCATCCAACCTGCCCTTCAGCACTGCCAGGGATGGGGCAGCCACAGCTTCCCTGGGCAACCTGGGCCAGGGTCTCATCACCTTCATAGTGAAGAATTTTCACCTAATGTCTGATCTAAATCTCCCCTCTTTCAGTTTTAATCCATCACCCCTTGTCCTCTCACTACATACTCTAGTAAGAAGTCCCTCCCCAGCTTTCCTGTAGGCCCTGATCTTGGCTCTGGACCATCATGCTGCCTATTTAGCCTGAGTACAGTGACTCTGTGAGCTGTTTACTCTTATAAGCTTGAAATCTAAATGCAAGGAGATGCCACCTGCCACACAGCAGGCTGTGTCACCTCAGCTGCCTTGTTCCAGCAGAGCCAGGCAGGGCAGCCCCCAGCCCTTACCCCGCGATGGCGTAGAGCCTGCCCCGCAGCACCGTGGCCCCCACGTAGCAGCGGGGGGTCGTCATGCTGGTGACAGTCGTCCAGGAGTCAGTGCGAATATTATAGGCTTCCACAGAAGAGAGATGAGCTGTCCCGTCGAAGCCACCAACCACATAAATGTGGTCGTTCAGCAGAGCCACTCCAGCCCCTGGGGGAAGAGAAGGCAGCACAGTTAAACCCACAGGCAACTGTCAGCACCATGCTCAGGGCTGGTACAGCCTGAACAAGGTCAGTTCCTCTCTTTCCAGAAGACATTTTCTTATGCTTTTATGTCCTACAGAAGAGCTGCCAGAGCCCAGTGTCTTCTGTTGCTGTTGTCTCCAATATGATACATGAAAACCTGTAATTCTACCAATGCTGCTGAATCTCTGGCATGAGGGGGCCTGAGCAACAGGGCAGCCAGGGCAGCTTCAAATGTGAGATGTTCACCTTGGCTGAACACCCCCTGTGAAGGGTCTGGAGCACAAGTCTGAGCAGGAGCAGCTGAGGGAGCTGGGGGTTCAGCCAGGAGAACAGGAGGCTGAGGGGAGACCTTCTGGCTCTGCAGCTGCCTGAGAGGAGGTTGGAGCCAGGGGGGTTGGGCTGTGCTCCCCAGGAACAAGTGACAGGACAAGAGGAAACAGTCTCAAGTTGTGCCAGGGGAGGCTGAGGTTGGATCTTGGGAACAATTTCTTCCTGGCAAGGGTTGTCAGGCCCTGGCCCAGGCTGCCCCTGGCGTCCCCATCCCTGGAGGGATTTCAAAGCCATGTAGATGCAGTGCTGAGGGACATGGGTCAGTGGTGGCCTTGGCAGTGCTGGGATAATGGTTGGACTGGATGATCTTAAAGGTCTTTTCCAACCACAACAATTGGATGATCCCATGAAAGGCTCCCAAACCCCTGAGCAGACCAGCACAAGGCTTGCTCTGCTGGCAGGCAGCTCACTGGGACTCTGTCACTACAGAGACAGGTTTCTCTGGTGTCACCCAGCTTCTGGCTGTAGCAAGAAGAACGACACTGTTCCATGTCAAGCTGGGGGAGGGATTTCTTTGACATTGCTCCTCCAGGAGGCAGGGAAATGAAAACCAGTGTCCATTGCACAGTCACAGCAGAGAAGTAGCCAAAGCATCTGCCTGAGAAGCTGTTCTCACAGTAACAGCCACCAATAAGTTGGCCCAGCTGGGAAAATAAACCTCCGCAGCTTATAGGCTTCCACAGAAGAGAGATGAGCTGTCCCGTCGAAGCCACCAACCACATAAATGTGGTCGTTCAGCAGAGCCACTCCAGCCCCTGGGGGAAGAGAAGGCAGCACAGTTAAACCCACAGGCAACTGTCAGCACCATGCTCAGGGCTGGTACAGCCTGAACAAGGTCAGTTCCTCTCTTTCCAGAAGACATTTTCTTATGCTTTTATGTCCTACAGAAGAGCTGCCAGAGCCCAGTGTCTTCTGTTGCTGTTGTCTCCAATATGATACATGAAAACCTGTAATTCTACCAATGCTGCTGAATCTCTGGCATGAGGGGGCCTGAGCAACAGGGCAGCCAGGGCAGCTTCAAATGTGAGATGTTCACCTTGGCTGAACACCCCCTGTGAAGGGTCTGGAGCACAAGTCTGAGCAGGAGCAGCTGAGGGAGCTGGGGGTTCAGCCAGGAGAACAGGAGGCTGAGGGGAGACCTTCTGGCTCTGCAGCTGCCTGAGAGGAGGTTGGAGCCAGGGGGGTTGGGCTGTGCTCCCCAGGAACAAGTGACAGGACAAGAGGAAACAGTCTGAAGTTGTGCCAGGGGAGGCTGAGGTTGGATCTTGGGAACAATTTCTTCCTGGCAAGGGTTGTCAGGCCCTGGCCCAGGCTGCCCCTGGCGTCCCCATCCCTGGAGGGATTTCAAAGCCATGTAGATGCAGTGCTGAGGGACATGGGTCAGTGGTGGCCTTGGCAGTGCTGGGATAATGGTTGGACTGGATGATCTTAAAGGTCTTTTCCAACCACAACAATTGGATGATCCCATGAAAGGCTCCCAAACCCCTGAGCAGACCAGCACAAGGCTTGCTCTGCTGGCAGGCAGCTCACTGGGACTCTGTCACTACAGAGACAGGTTTCTCTGGTGTCACCCAGCTTCTGGCTGTAGCAAGAAGAACGACACTGTTCCATGTCAAGCTGGGGGAGGGATTTCTTTGACATTGCTCCTCCAGGAGGCAGGGAAATGAAAACCAGTGTCCATTGCACAGTCACAGCAGAGAAGTAGCCAAAGCATCTGCCTGAGAAGCTGTTCTCACAGTAACAGCCACCAATAAGTTGGCCCAGCTGGGAAAATAAACCTCTGCAGCCTCTGCTCCTCCCCTGCAGCTTCAGGCCAAGCACCACAGAACAACAAAGATAACAATGGACACGGTGGCCTTGGGTGCTCCTGCCACTGTTTGAGCTGCATCTCAAGAGCAGAGCAAACCCTCCCAGGCTGCTCCGCCCAACACACTGCACTGGTGAACTCCCTGAAGGAAACAAGCCAGCTAACCTGCAGCTTTTGGGCCCGGATCTGTTTCTTCTACAAACAGGGTATAAAGACTTTCTGTTCCACTAAATACAACCTCACTCTCATGGTCTGTCCCTGCTGAAAGCACCAGAACAGCTGGGAACGGCCAGGCTGCCCCAAGGGCCTCTCTGACAGCTTCACCAAGGAAGACTGGCTGAGAAGAAAGACCAGACCAAGGCCTGGTCAGGGATGTTGGGTCTAGCACTTCAATTTGGCCATGGTTTGGTTTTGGCCTTATCTCCAGAACCTGTCCCAAGAGATGAAGAGAAACAGGGAGGGGACAATCTCTGTGAATAAAGACAAGATTACTTTTAGTCCTGGTCTTTCTTGGAAATCAAGGGCCTGCAAGCAGACAGCTCCAGAAACAGTGCCAATGTCTTGGGGCAAAAGAAGTCCTACAGGGTCCATGGTTACCAGGATGGATGGACTGAAACTACCAGGATGAAGGTTGCAGGTGTGATCTCATCCATCAGTAGCTCGGGGTGTCACTACCATGGGGTGGCTGCACAAAATCCTGGGCCAAAAAGTGTTCTTGGCAACACCTCCATTTTAGACCTCAGTGCTCCAGGTCACAGCAGTGAGGAAGGAAGGAACCTGGCAGGGTCAGAGTGGGGCCAAGGTTCCTGCTGCCCCGTGGCGTTGAGGAGCCTGCACTGTGGGTCAAGGCAGCTTCCAAAAGCCTCAGAATCTTGTGGAAAGCTAGCATGGACCTGGGAAACACTTCATACAAAAGGCTCTCCCTTGAACTCCTTGCTTTTGGTCTTACCCAAAGCCATGTTCTCTGGTGCACACCACAGACACCCTGGGGAAAGCTGTCTTATCCTTAGGCTCCCTAGAGATTCCTGGAGAGGTCTCAAATGTTGCCTCTGACGTAGGAAAACCCACAGATTTTCTCATGTGTTTGTATGTTGGGTCTTCCTGGATGTGGAAAACCAGTGATCAAATCCTTTCCTGGCGCATGAGAAACACTTTCCAACTCACTTCACAGGAGCTGCCGTGTCACAGGACTAAATATTAAAAACTTGGGGATTTGGTGAGTGCCACTGCAGGCACAGGAAAGCTGAAATGTTTTTAGAACAGAGACCAGTTTTAATTGACTAACCAGTGCCAGTCCCTAAACAAAAACACTGCAGCAGAGACCAAACAGAAACTATGCTGCCCAGGCTAGATGTGAAGGACACTTATGGCAAGAATTAGAGAAAAAGAAACCTCAAAAGGGTTTTGAAAGAGGGCCTGTAAGAAAAGCAGAACATGAAGAACAATAAAGCTGTGGAGACTTCAAGCACCCTGCCCAGCCTCACGTGGCTGAGCAAGGCCTGGGGCAGGTGGCCTGAGGGGCACTGGAGCACACAGGAGCTGCACAAGTCCCACAAGAACCCCCTTGAGAAAAGGAGAAGAGCTGAGATAGCAAGTTCCTCCAGAAGTAGGATTTCAACTGTTTTTTCTCTTAGACACAGCTGTCATACTTCAAGCTCAGACAGGGCCCCAAGCAGGAAAGACAAACTGAGAGCTGGTGGTGGGTACTGAACGTGTGACTGCACCATGTTTCCTCAGGGGGGTGAGAGTGCTGCTGCATGTCAGGGCTCTGGCAGTGCTGCTCTCTGGGCCAGAGCTGCTGCAGGAGCTGGGGCCAGGGTGTCACAAGGCAGACTGTGGGTGAAGGAGGGTCTGCCAGAGCCCTCCTGCCTTGCCCATGTCCTGTGCAGCTCACCAGCACCAGGTTAGCAAACTGCAGCTTGTGCCTTGCTAGCTTTTCTCCTAGTCATGGAAGCCACACATGACTTCCTCTCCCTCCCTGTAACCTACAACCCCCCACATTCCTCTCTCCACACCTTAGCCTGGGCTGGAGACATTGGGCATATGAAAATTAATCTTCCTCTTGGGCAGTTCAATCAGCATGTCCTAAAATCATCCCTTCTCAAATCCAAACCACTCCCTGGGCCACTCAACGTCCTGCAGGGCAGCAGAGCCAGCCAGCAGTGACTGCACCAAATGTTTTGGCCTCCAGGGGCTCTTACCTGAGCGCTTAGTGGCCATTGGGGTGACATTTGTCCAGTGTCCAGTGTGGGGATCATACCTCTCTACTGAGTTCAGTATGTTCAGCCCATCATAGCCACCTGAAACAAAACACAACAGAATCCATGGATCTTACATATATATAATCTAAATATAAATAGATATAAATCTACATGAGGGCTGGGCATCAAGAAGGCAGGGCATCTGTGGGGAAGGGTCTGGAGCACAAGTCTTATGAGGAGCAGCTGAGGGAGCTGGGGTTGTCCAGCCTGGAGCAAAGGAGGCTGAGGGGAGACCTGCTGGCTCTGCAGCTGCCTGAGAGGAGGTTGGAGCCAGGGGGGTTGGTCTCTGCTCCCAAGGAATAAGGGATAGAACAAGAGGAAATGGACTCAAGTTGTACCAGGGGAGGTTTAGAATGGATCTTGGGAACAATTTTGTCATGGAAAGGGTTGTCAGGGCCTGGCCCAGGCTGCCCAGGGAAGGGGTGGAGTCCCCATCCCTGGAGGGATTTAAGGGTGTATAGACACAGCACTTAGGGATATGGTTTAGTTAAGGACTTGGCAGTGCTGGGTTAATGGTTGAATTCCATGATCTTGAAGGTCTTTTCCAATTCTGAGATTCTGTGTCAGAACCAGAGCTGTGCAGAGCCCAATGTGGGGAAGTTAAATCTTCTCTTCTAACCTGGACATGACACAACAGGTGCTCCCCACAGAGCTCCTGCACCATCATTCCTGTAAAAACAACAATTTGCAGAATGCCAAGAGGTTCTAAGGGCACCTACCGAGGCAGTAGATAACTCCATTAGCTACAACAAGCCCTGCTCCCTCCCGTGCTGTCTGCATGTCTCCCAGCATGCTCCACTGGTCAATGTTGGGGTCGTATCGCTCCATACTGGTGTGACGGCGGCTCCCGTCAAACCCCCCGGACACGTAGATCATGTCTGCAACATTAGACACAGGTTGGACACAACAAGTTGAGTTTCAAGGGTGCAGCTGGAGCAAGGAGACCCTCAGAGATGGAGTAAACATACAGCATGGTCTGCAAAATACAGGAACTACAACTACAGATCTTGGCATGTGGCAGCTGGGACCAGCCCGGCCTCCTGGCTCACTGCATCACCCTGCCCCAGCAAACCAACCAAACAGAAAACCCATCTGGCCCTAAGATCTGCTTCTTGTGTGAGGTGGGAAGACCCTGGGACAGGTTGCCCAGAGAAGCTGTGGCTGCCCCATCCCGGGCAGTGTTGAAGGGCAGGTTGGATGGGGCTTGGAGCAACCTGGGCTGGTGGGAGGTGTCCCTGCCCATGCAGGGGGGTTGGGACTGGATGGGCTTTGAGGTCCCTTCCAACCCAAACCATTCCATGATTCCATGATTCTGACTGCTGGATGAAAGAGAACACACACACCCCCCAGTTCTCTTGTTCATGCTGCAGAGTGCTCACAAGGCAGCAAAAGGAAAAAAGATCCATAAGACATGCTTGCATGTTCAACATCAGTCCCTTACACTGGATGACCTAACTCAGGCAACAGTTTCACAAATCTGACTTCTGCAAAGCAGTTGCATTTTAAAGAGAATTTTCATTAGAATGGATTACTAACAATCTAAATTAATAATATTTAACCAATATTAATTATTAAGTTACTATAAGCATTAAAGCACATAATATTCATTAGAGTGACTGCTAATTTAATGGCTAGAAAACTTCCTCTCATTTCCACACCAACTTTCCCTTGCCCTGTTGGTAACTATTTGCTCTCATTCAACACTTACACTGCCCATGTCTTTCTCAAGCCAAGTTACACTCACAGAGAACCATCCAATCCCCTCCCAGCCTTTGCCTTCTCAGCAGAAGCAACATGAAGTCCTGTGGTTTGCTCAGGAACTGTTTCTTTCTTCCAAGTGTATCCTAGGAATCCTTCTCTGCACTTGCCCCAGTTCCAGCCTCTCCCAGTGCTGACGGTTCTTGCTGTACCTGGTGTCCTGTGCTCAGGAACACACAACACTGTCACCACCCCGGGACCTTCCCACTCCATAATCCCTCAGAGCTGCTCTCCCTCCATGCACAGACACGCGTGGAGGCAGAGCTCCTCAGGCTGTGTGGCCAAGTTTTCCATTCCTACATCCAAATGATGAGAAAGCAGAAGGACTTTCAGAATCACCTCCTCCCTCGCTGCCAGCCCCCTCTGCACAGACCAGCTCGAGGTGAGAACTGAGCAGGGCCCTGGCACCACAGGGACCAGGACATACCTCCAAGGGTGGTGGCTCCTGCCAGGCCTCGGCGTACATTCATAGGAGCCACAGAGTACCAGATCCCATCCTCATCTGATGTATAATCCAAGCACTCCACAGAGCTGAGGCGGGAGCGCCCATCGTACCCCCCGATCACGTAGATGCGGTCGTGCAGGGACACTGTGGCGACATAGCGCCTCTTCCGGGTGATGCTCTGGAGCAGGGGAGGGAACAGAAAGGTGATGGAGAAAGAAAGAAGGACATGGAGCTCCTGAAGTGAGTCCAGAGGAGGCCACGGAGATGCTGGGAGGGCTGGAGCAGCTCTGCTCTGGAGCCAGGCTGGGAGAGTTGGGGTGTTCAGCCTGGAGAAGAGAAGGCTCCAGGGAGACCTTAGAGCAGCTTCCAGTGCCTGAAGGGGCTCCAGGAAAGCTGGGGAGGGGCTTGGGACAAGGGCAGGGAGTGAGAGGACAACGGGGAATGGACTTAAACTCGAAGAGGGGAGATGGAGATCTTAGCAAGAAATTCTTCACTGTGAGGGTGGTGAGAGCCTGGCCCAGGCTGCCCAGGGAAGCTGTGGCTGCCTCATCCCTGGCAGTGTTGAAGGGCAGGTTGGATGGGGCTTGGAGCAGCCTGGGCTGGTGGGAGGTGTCCCTGCCCATGCAGGGGGTTGGATCTAGATGATCTTTAACGTCCCTTCCAACCTAAACCAGTCTGGGATTCTGTGAAGGGGAGGAAATAACACTTATGCATGGAGACAAACCACTGTTCTTCCATCCTCTTTTGATGCTCTTTTGGAACTATGGATTTATAGGATACAGCCCTGGCTAAAATGCTTCATGACTGTGTCTGCCTTCCTCTGCCTGGACTCTGTCTCTGCCATTCTGTCTTCTCATGGCCAAGCCCTCTTCGCACTGAAGCATTTTGCATTAATTGTCATTTATCTTACACTGTTACATCTTCTGTGCATTCCAGGGTTTGTGTGCCTCCCACTGGGACCCTGCAGGGATTGTTCATAGGAAAATGTGGAGACTTGGAATATTTGATGAAAATATCTGAAACTTTTAGCCTCCAAAAAAGACCACAATTTTGGGACACCAGGTGATACAGGAGAGGAGGCCACGGAGATGCTGGGAGGGCTGGAGCAGCTCTGCTCTGGAGCCAGGCTGGGAGAGTTGGGGTGTTCAGCCTGGAGAAGAGAAGGCTCCAGGGAGACCTTAGAGCACCTTCCAGTGCCTGAAGGGGCTCCAGGAAAGCTGGGGAGGGGCTTGGGACAAGGGCAGGGAGTGAGAGGACAACGGGGAATGGACTTAAACTCGAAGAGGGGAGATGGAGATCTTAGCAAGAAATTCTTCACTGTGAGGGTGGTGAGAGCCTGGCCCAGGCTGCCCAGGGAAGCTGTGGCTGCCTCATCCCTGGCAGTGTTGAAGGGCAGGTTGGATGGGGCTTGGAGCAGCCTGGGCTGGTGGGAGGTGTCCCTGCCCATGCAGGGGGTTGGATCTAGATGATCTTTAACGTCCCTTCCAACCTAAACCAGTCTGGGATTCTGTGAAGGGGAGGAAATAACACTTATGCATGGAGACAAACCACTGTTCTTCCATCCTCTTTTGATGCTCTTTTGGAACTATGGATTTATAGGATACAGCCCTGGCTAAAATGCTTCATGACTGTGTCTGCCTTCCTCTGCCTGGACTCTGTCTCTGCCATTCTGTCTTCTCATGGCCAAGCCCTCTTCGCACTGAAGCATTTTGCATTAATTGTCATTTATCTTACACTGTTACATCTTCTGTGCATTCCAGGGTTTGTGTGCCTCCCACTGGGACCCTGCAGGGATTGTTCATAGGAAAATGTGGAGACTTGGAATATTTGATGAAAATATCTGAAACTTTTAGCCTCCAAAAAAGACCACAATTTTGGGACACCAGGTGATACAGGGTCTTCTGTGATATTAAAAAAGAGGCAGCTCTCCACCATTACACACAGGTGGTGATGAAAATCACATGAAGATGATTTTAAATTTGGGTAAAAATAGTCATGAGTGCAGGAATTCTCTTTTCCTTACTACCTCCTGTTATGGTCAGAAAGACTGTGCAGCCTGCCTGAGAGCAGGACTGATTATACTCTTTCTATTGACATTTATCATCACTAACCTTAAAGCTTAACACTTCTTCAATAAGAAACATGATAGCTCTCCCTCCCACAACAAAGAGGTGGGTCTCTGTAGGCTCAGCTGATTAAGAAATGTGACAACCACCTCTTACACAAATCTTAATTAGCAAATCTGGAAACATGAAGTGGCAGCATCATTTGCTGTGTTCATCTCAGCAACTCTAAATAATTGATGGCAGGAATTCTAAGAGGAACACAAAGCAGAGCCCAAAGGGGAATGTTAAATGGCTGATACTACAGGATCAGTGTTTGGTCACAGCCTGTTCAACCCTGTGGTGGTTAGAAATGGTCCCTTACTGGCAAGAAACTCCACTCCTGAGTCTTTGGGTCGTATTTCTCCACCACGTCGATGGGTGACTGCTGGCTGCCGAAGCCGCCGATCACCAGCAGCACTTCGTTTGCTCCTAGAGCACAGAGGGAGAGCAAAGGCAAGTCAGTCCCTTGGCAACCAACAGATCACCTCAAGGCAATCACCTGAAACATCTCTGAGCCTTCCTTGGTGCAACAAGTCACCTCTGTTTTCATCACTACTCTGAAGCTGGCACCTAACCTGGGTACTGTCACCTGGGCTCCCTCTGTTCCCAGTGGGGAGGAAGAGGGACAGTGTGTGGCAGTGAGACCAGCTGGGATGTTGTGAGCTGCCAGCTGGAGGCTGCTTCTCCTCAAGTCAGGGGGACTAGGAGAAGACAAGCTGCCTGAGTGAGGTACTGAAGTTGGCTTGTTTCTATCTCCTTTTGTATTCTCTCAATAATGTTTACTTCAAACCTCTTACCACCCCCTGAGAGCTGAAGGACGGCTGCTCCCTGCAGCCTCCTCACTCCCCTCTGGATGGCATCCAGGCCAGATGGCACATCTTTTGCACCATTTCACTGAGAAACAAGTCAGGCTGACTGAAGCCTGAAGAATTAATAAAATATTTTCAGATGAATTGTCCTCTTTCAGAGGAACTGTCTCTGTTACAGATTTTATTTCCAAGTTGATTTCCCTCTGATTTCTTTTCTCTGAGATTGTCCCTGAATTTTTCTTATTTTCTCCCCAAGAGTTGAATAGAACTTGTGACCTGGAGAATTTTAATTTCCCTTGTCATGGGTAGTGGTAGGTTTGCATTATAGTTTTAAAAATAGATTAGCATCTCCTGAATCCCCTGTGTACCTTCTGCAATAGGGAGTTTTACTAGAGTTTCAAACTGTCCAGCTTTTCACTGTAGAAGGACTGAACACTGAGGAACAAAGATTTAACAAGACCCAGTCTGGCATAAAGCAGAACAGCTGCCACCTCAGATGAAGGAGAATGATCTAAAAAAAGAACTGGGAAGGATTCACAAAAGAGCTGCAACAACAATTTGGAAAGCCTTCTGTGCAGCATGACAGCTAGAAGCAGAATCATTTCAGTTTATCCCCCAGGAAGTTAATCCACAACTTCATCACAGTTTCTAGGTGACACATGAGAGCAGCTGACAGCAGACAGTATTGAATGAATTAAACAAGGTAGGACTGAATCCAGATAGCCTTGGTAATAAGGTGCAGGTTTTGCCTGTATAATTAAGCAATAAAACAGTTTTGTGATGTCCCCTTTATCAGGTGAAGAATTTAAACTCAGAACAAAATGAAATGTGTCTTTCTGCAATGACACGTTGAGCTGAACTGCATCGAAACTGATGCAGGATGTTCCCAGAAAAACAGGAGACAAGCTGTGGCCTGGACTATGCTGGAGGTCAAACCACATCATAACAAGCCCTCTGAGATTCCCTCTTGAAAACTTTTCTTCCCTGTAACACACCTGCCTCTCACCTTGCAGCTCTTTTTGTTTCTGACACCAATACCTGCCTTTTTTGACAAGAAGAGCTCTGTCCACACGTCTTGGACAGCTGCATGCTGAGACAAACATACCTGGAGGCACCAATCACTCAGGTAACTGGTTCTATGGTTACAGAAGAGGCATGGGATTAAAGACAACCACCAAGTTCCTGCCTTGCCACTAAGCAATTGTGCTCTGAAAAAAATGTCCCTCTATCCTTTCCTTCAGTCCCCTGCTGTGAAACACTTCAGGGCAATGACAAGGTGTGGAGCACAATACCAGCCAGTGTCCCAGACCTGCTCAGTGTCCCTCCCCTTGCTGCTCACCCAGACGCGCTCTTGTCCTGGGTCCTTGCATCTGACTCCGGAGCTCGGGCCGAAGATGAAATTTCTTGGCTTCATCTACAAGGTCTCTGCACTGCAGGCTGCACCGGATGAAGGGCTGAGGGAAAACAGGAGTCACTGGTACAAGTACTTACAGATCCCTCAGAGGAACTGTCCTAAACCCACCTCTGTCAGTTCAGACAGGACTACAACGCCTTGTGGGCTGGCTGTGGGTAGTAGGGTCCTGCTGCAAATACAGCACATGAGGAAATGCAGCTGAAAATATGGCTCAGTTTGTTCTCACACAAAGTCTGGCACTGCAGGTTCCATGATGAAAATAACTACACTGGAAAACTAAGGAAAAGCCCCTTCTGCTACATTTAAGCCAGCAGAAGTATGTCTGAGAAGGGGGGCTGATAGTGAAACTACCATTGCAACTGGTTTGGCTGGATCTGCCCCACATTAGCTACTCTCAGCTGTACCTGCCCTCAAGGAAATAGCACAGGAAGCAGTTCTGCTGAGCCTGGTATCCCAGTCCCTACGACATGGGACATGGAGCTATGGAAGTAACACAGAAGCAGTAAGGCCTTCTTTTAAAAGAAGTGGGTGCCACTGCAGCCCAAGGACAGTCTTATCCCCTCCTTGCACAACATGGTGTGATTACCCCCCTGTACAAACCTCCCAATGTGCCCTTGTGGCTAAGAAGGCCAATGGGATCCTGGGGTGCATTAGGAAGAGTGTGGCCAGTAGGTGGAGAGAGATCCCACTCTGCTCTGCCCTGGTGAGGCCACATCTGGAGAACTGTGACCAGTTCTAGGCTGTCCAGTTCAGGAGCAACAGGGAACTGCTGGAGAGAGTCCAGAGGATGATGGTGGCAGAGATGACTGGGGATTTGGATCATCTCCCTGATAAGGAAAGGCTGAGAGAGCTGGGGCTGTTCAGCCTGGAGAAGAGAAGGCTGAGTGGAGACCTTATTAATGCCTCCAAGTATCTCAGGGTGGGTGCAGGGAGGATGGAGCCAGACTCTACTCATTAGTTCCCAGGGACAGGATGAGGGGCAACAGGCACAAGCTGGAACATGGGAAGTGCCATTTAAAGATGAGAAAAAACTTCTTTACCATGAGGGTGGCAGAGCCTTGGGACAGGCTGCCCAGGGAGGGGTGGAGTCCCTTTCTCTGGATATTCCGATCCCCTGTGGATTCAGCCCTAGGTAATGTTGTCCAGTGGATCCTGCCTTAGCAGAGGGTTGGGCTTGATGATCTCTAGAAGTCCCTTCCAACCCTGGCAACTCTGTGATTCTGAGGCCCTGTACACACACACATTATCTCAGGCTGGTTTTGGGACAGATTTAATAGCTTTGGTACTGGTCTCTTGTTGGCTTCAATTTCAGTTTCACTGAAACTGAAACAATCTCACTGAGCACATTCTAGCTGTGGCACAACTGAGGTGCCTGTCAGCTGCCTTTGCAGCATAACACCCACAAAAGGCAGCTGTTTCCCAGTAATGTTGCTCAACCACCATTTCTCTAGAGCAGTTTGCCACTCAACACTCAGCACCCACTGGGTGACAACGGACAGTAACCACTGGTTACCTCACATCAACATCAAACCAGAGTGCTGGTTTGAACTTCTCTGTGCCTTCCTGTCAAACCTGGCACAGGGGCAGCATCACCTTCTGCTTGGAATGAAACTTCCTTTGCAAAAGTTTAATTCTCTCTTATCATCATGCACAGTTTGGTTTGTCTTTCCAACACCCCAGCCACACAGAGAAGCAGTGTTAGAGGTGGCTCTGACTTGGGTGTTGGCCTTGGACCTACACAGCTGCTGTCCTCATTCAAAGGTACCTGCTTGACATCTGCACCTAAAACAACTTCTGAGGAGCCATTTCCTACTCAGGATGGTGCCAGTAGCCTTCAGCCTAGAGAAGACCTCCTACCATGACTGGAAGGCAGAAAACAGCTGTATGAAAACTGGAAGAGATGACAACAAAAAGGTGCTACATTTACCAGGAGACAACTGAGTAATTGGACAGGGCACCCTCCCAGCTGAAAAGCAGGGTGCTGTGACTGCTGGGACAGCAAAGTACTTCTGAGGAAACCAGTGGGTGCTCCAGCTGAACAGGGACAACTCCACAGTATCAGTATCAAAAACCATCAGCAGAGACATCGGCTTTTGACATGCTCTGTTGGAACAGCAGGAGTCCAGAGGAGGCCACGAAGATGGTCAGAGCCTGGAGCACCTCTCCTATAAAGACAGGCTGGGAGAGTTGGGGTGTTCAGCCTGGAGAAGAGAAGGCTCCAGGGAGACCTTAGAGCAGCTTCCAGTGCCTGAAGGGGCTCCAGGAAAGCTGGGGAGGGACTTGGAACAAGGGCAGGGAGTGAGAGGACAACGGGGAATGGGCTTAAACTCGAAGAGGGGAGATGGAGATCTCAGCAAGAAATTCTTCACTGTGAGGGTGGTGAGAGCCTGGCCCAGGTTGCCCAGGGAAGCTGTGGCTGCCCCATCCCTGGCAGTGCTGAAGGGCAGGTTGGAAGGGGCTTGGAGCAACCTGGGCTGGTGGGAGGTGTCCCTGCCCATGTAGGGGGTGGATCTAGATGATCTTTAAGGTCCCTTCCAACCCAGGCTGTGACTCTATGACTCTCAGGCTCACAGGGTCCCTCCCCCAGAGCTGTACCTCGGTGTCGATCACGTCGGTGATGTAGCGCGGGGTGAGCAGCGGCATCCGCACGTACTGCAGCAGCTCGGGCAGCGACGCCTCCCGCTCCTTCTTGGAGTGCTTCACCCAGTTGATCACTGCCTCAAACACCGGCTCCTCGGAGTCCACCTGGGGAGAGGAGAAACAGGCTGAGCAGACTGCAGGGGGGTATTTCAGCAGCATATTGTCTGTGGAGCAGACAAATTCCAGCTCAACAAGCAGGGTTTATGCTGGAACTGGAGGGTTCATGGATCTCAGGGATGGGTGTTGGGACCCTTGAGATGGGGCCTGGAGCCCCTGAAAATGAAGGGCTGGGTTGCAGAAATGATGCTTTGGAGCCCAAAAAGGAGGCACTGGGCTAAAAAAATCAGGTTGGGAGCCTCATAGTTGGAGCTGAGAGACAAGCAACAAGGCTGTGAACTCTGAAATGAGGCTCTGGAGGTGATGAGTACAGCTTTGGGCTGCCCAAAATGAGCTTTGGAAGAAACAGAGGAAGATGTGGTCACTACAGTGAGAGCTGGGACCCTAAAACAAGTATTTGGACACTCCAAATGAGGCTGTGGGACATGAAAAGGAGAATTTTAACCTTGTCAATGAAGCTTGGAAGTCTATAATGAGGCATTCAGACCTAAAAGAGAGAGGATTTAGAACCTATAAAGGAGGCCTTCTGCCTTAAGAAGGGATTCAAACCCCCAAAGGGAGTCACTGGACCTTAAAAATGCAGCAGTGGGCCCTAAAAGTGAGGGTTTGGCCCCCTCCAAAGGAGGCTTTCAATCCTGAAATGAAAGCTTTGAACCCTCTGAATGAGGCTTCAAGCCTTGCAAAGGAGGCTTTGGGAACTAAACACAACAATATTAATTGTATTTTATTTTCTTCTCCTTAATACAAAGTTGTTTTTCCCTTCCAGCTGAAATCAAGAACTGGCAGTCCAAGTGCCACAAGTGAGCTTTATAGCACACAGCAGAGCCTGAAGCTGCAGCCACCACTTTTGGGAGAGGCAAGGAACAGGCTCTGACTCCCAGAGTGGCTCCCATAGTTCTGCAAAATACAGAGCACCATCATGGAATCATTGAGGTTGGAAAGGACCTTTAAGAAAATCAAGTTCAACCACTAACCTAACTATAGCATCATGGAAGTGATCAGAATAACTTTTGCTTTGTACAGAACCTTCCCTATAGAATCATGGAATGGTTGGAGTTGGAAGGGACCTTCAAGATTACAGAATGGTTCATAGAATGGTTTGAGTTGGAAGAGACTTTAGAGGTTATCTGGTTCCAACCCCCTGCATGGGCAGGGACACCTCCCACCAGCCCAGGCTGCTCCAAGCCCCATCCAACCTGCCCTTCAACACTGCCAGGGATGGGGCAGCCACAGCTTCCCTGGGCAATCTGGCCCAGGCTCTCACCACACAAACATTAAAGAATTTCCTCCTGATCTCTAACCTAAATCTCTCTTCTTTCAGCTTAAAACCATCACCCCTTGCCGTCTCACTACAAACCCTTGTAACAACTCCCTCCTCAGGGACTTAACCCCCTGTAGCCCCCTGCCCACGCATGGCCCCTTTAACACCTGAGCCACTCCACGGATATTTAAGGGTTTTATTTTAATTTCAACCCACAATTAAGAAACTATAAACAACTGGCTTTCAGTAATGGAGACCCCCAGGGTATGAATGTTACTGTTCTGTTCAGCCTGAAGAAGAGGAGACTGAGGGGAGACTTCATCACAGCTACTGCTTCCTCATGAGGGAAGGAGGAGAAGTGGGAGCTGACCTCTTCTCTCTGGTGACCAATGATAGGACCCAAGGGAATGGTAGGAAGATTTGCAGGGGGGGTTTGGGTTGGACAGTAGGAAGAGATTCCTCACCCAGAGGGTGGTGGAGCACTGGAATGGGCTCCCCAGGGAAGCAGTGATGGCTCCAAGCCTGAAAGCATTCAAGAAACATTTGGACAATACCCTCAGGAACATGGTGTGAACTTTGGGGTTGTCCTGTTCTGGGGTAGGAGTTGGGCTGGGTGATCCAGGCTGTCTGAGGAGGTGGTTGAGCCACCATGCCTGGAGACATCTAAAAAGACAGATGTGATGCCAGGGGACAGGGTTTAGCGGTGGATGTGGCAGAGTTGGGGTAGTGGTTGGACTCAGTGAGCTTGAAGGTCTTTTCCAAACCAAATGATACTGTGATACTGTCTATTTCTCTCTCCACTTGGGAGCAGCACATGCAGGTGCTTACATCACTTCCAGAGATGACATTGATTAAACCACCCAGATTTGTTCCTTCCTGGGAACCTCAAGTGCTCAGGATATCTAGTATCACCACAAGTGAAAGAACTGTAAAAAGCTCTACAATATATTATTTAGGCTTGGTTTTCCTTTTGCACATCTATAGATCACCCAACATAAAAGCAAATCAGACATGACTCTATTATCATGAGGTCTGCTAACTTATTAAATACGAAGATTAAAGGGGATACAGCAATAAGGGGCCTGAGCCTTCCTACCAATACAACTGGCACACTTGGAAGCTCAGGTTGAAGCTGTTGCAGACTGTTGGGAAGGAGGGAGCCACAGAGTTAATTATGCAAGGCAATTCTTCCAAGCCATTGATTTTTATCTGTTACAGTGTGACCTGAAGTGGCCTCCTCGTTTGAATTACAGGGAAAGGACAATTAGAGCTCACAAAAGGAGAGCAGAGTACTTCATTGTCTCCAATTTTCACCACCTCCTCTTCAAATGCCACATTGTTTTATCCCCTCCCCAGCTGACTCTCCTCTGATAGATTTAACTGTTTTTCATGAAATAATTTCTGTTTTCTGATAAACTATGAGTAACACAAAACACAGCATGGCAATGAGGACCTGCTATTATACCTCTGGAGCAACCTGGTGGGTTTCTGAGAGTGCTTCTCAGTGCCCTCACCTCCCCACTGCCACAGGAACAGCTCCAGTGGCTTCATTCACCTTCTTCAGCTATGACAATGGATACACACCTCCGTGTGCTCTGCAAGGCCTGAGTGACTCCTTCCAACACCCACTGCATTTCACTTTGCCTGTGTAGATCATCTGTAGCTTGGCCAGGTCATTCAAAAGTTCATTTTTTCTCTTCACTGCTCAGAAGCATCCACAGGATGCCTCACAGCCTGGTTTGGGTTTGGGAGGGACCTTAAAGATCATTTAGTTCCAACCTCCCTCCATGGGCAACCTCCTACCAGACCAGGCTGCTCCAAGCCCAAGCTGCCCTTGAACACCTCCAGGGATGGGGCAGCCACAGCTTCCCTGGGCAACCTGGGCCAGGGTCTCACCAGCCTCACTAAGGAATTTCCTCCTAATGTCTCATCTAAAACTCCCTCTTCCAGTTTAATCCATTCCCCCTCATCCCATCCCTCCCTGCCCTTGTCCCAAGTCCCTCCCCAGCTTTCCTGGAGCCCCTTCAGGCACTGGAAGGTGCTCTAAGGTCTCCCTGGAGCCTTCTCTTCTCCAGGCTGAACACCCCAACTCTCCCAGCCTGGCTCCAGAGCAGAGCTGCTCCAGCCCTTGGATCATCTCTGTGGCTGCTCTGGACATGCTCCAAGAGTCATTATGTCAGCCCTCACCACAACCCACTTCAGCTCAAACCCTCACAGCATTAAAGCTGCAGTTTGTTAAACATCAAACACACTCAGCCTTTCTCCACTGCTGCCCTCAGCCTGTGCCAGGGCCTTTCACTGAGCTCTCACATGCTCTTTGTCAGGCAGCCTTATTAAAATAGGATGTCAGCTTGGCTGACATGTTGAAGACAGACATCCATCAAGGATTCTCCTCTGGCTACTCCCGTCTTGGCTTTTCAGGAACTCCACCAGAGATACCACTTACAGTGCTTTGCTTTAGGAGTTCATGTTACTGTGAACTCTGAACAGTGACTGCTTCAATAATTTCTTTTAGAAGAGGAGCAAACATCAGCTCTCAATGAAGCCCCTGTCAATAAAAAAATCACAAGTCCCCTCCCTATTATCAAGGATTGTTCAACTTATTTCAGTTCTCAAGAACATGTATTTTCATACAAAATTTGGGAAAAAAAAGTGTGAGTGGTTCCAGCCAAGCAGTAAATCCTCCAGAAAAACCTTAAAGGAAGAAAATCTGCAGAGAAGTCTCTGAAGAGTCAGACAACCCTGCACCATCACACATCCTGCTGCTTGTAAGAGTAAAGGACACCTGAGTGCCTGGGATCACACAAGCACTGCTTGTGCTGCTGAGCAGCAGGCACAGGTCTACAAATAAAAAGGAAAGTCTGGGGATATTTCTGAAATGTAGGCATTGGACAGCTTGTCCTTGTAACCTCTGAAAGTTCCTCCAGGGAAAGGAGGAGACAAGGGAACAACAGCTCTGCAGAGGCAGCTGTGACTGCTTCACTTGCAAGAAACATTTGTGTGACACATCCTTACATAAAAGCTTTATGTCACTGATCAATTTCAGATTACATGGCAAAAACATTAGCAGAAGCTTCTTGAAAATTCTCTTTCAAATTCAGGAACTGTGTGAGAAGTCCACCCTATGAACACAGACTCATTTCTTACTGGTTTCAAGGTTTTACTTCAATGCTTAGCACAGTAATGGTAGTTTTCAGGTTTTACCTGAATTTCATCACACTTGATGAGCTTTTCAACCTCTTCTTGATTTAAGAGGATAAACTCTTCATGCTGAACCACCTCTGGGAAATGTTTCTGGCTGAAGACCTCTGCAGCTTGCATTAGATCAACACAATTGTGTGTCTCAGCAAAATCCCGAATGCCCAAACAATTGGATGGATCCAGCTGGCTTTCTAGAAATTCACAGCAAGCTTGTTTCACACCTATGGAAAATTGGGAGGGGTGAATGAGCACTGCACTTACTGTCCAGCCACTGCTTTGAAAAGGGCTCAGGAAAGAAAGTTCAAAACAATAATGAAAATCCAACTCAAACCACAAGCTTAGAAATAGGACAGGAACACACACATGCAAATATTTCTTTGGAGGGATGTAAAAACACTGGGCAGAAGATGGTGTGTTTGGGCTTTTTGATCTCTGGCTGTTCCATTTAGATGCAAAAATTAAATCAATCTGATAGTAGAAAAAGACTCAAATGTTGAGTTGAGCTTCATGGATTAGAAACAAAGAAATGAATATGCTAGTGGATATGGTGACCACACTGCGAGGTTTTCTCCTATGTCTTGTTGATAATGGCCTGGGATCTGGGGTAATTGCCTAGGATGGCTCCAGAGGTGCAGGTGCAGTGACCTCACCCAGGTGGTTAATCATCAAGACACATTGATGACAGGCCAAATGACATCAGTTGACTGAGCTATGCTGTACAGTCCACAGTTCCTCCTA